CATTAACATGATCATGTTAATTGAGTGACAATATATCTTTAATTAAATAAATTTTATACTATAAATTGTGGATTAAAATATATTATGTAATTATATACATCATGTATTATATATAGGCTAATATACTTATGAATGACGCACAAGTGCGTCATTAGCAGTGAACGTGTTTTAACAATAATGGACTGCAATTATTGTTAAACATACAATCCATTTTTACATTAAGAAAAAAAAAAGTTTAATAATTAAGATAAGGTTAGGCCTTTGCTAGGAAAAGCTCGGCTCGAAAAAGCTCGAGCTCGAACATTTTTTAAAAAGCTCGGCTCGGCTCGGCTCGAGGTTGAAAATCACTATTCGCACACCCCTAATTTAAATGTTTTCGCCTTATGGCAATTTCAGGCCTAAGCAAAATATAGCATTTCTAATTTTAAATTAAACTGTTTTTATTAAAGAAATCTTTTAATATTTTAAAGCTTTAATTATTATCTTGGCTAGGGCAATGCCTAATGTTTATTGTTATTTATTGTTGTTTTGTTAAATATATATATTAGAATGAATAAATTTATATTTGTGTCCAGCCAGCTCTTGTGTTGTTATTGTTGGTCCTCCACCTCAGCAATATTGTGCCGGAATCCTACCATTGATTTTGCGCTTCCAAGGGCTTCACCCTTTTGATCAATGGAGTTGGGAATTCGGTTACAAATGGTAGCAGAGCGTGGTTAGTCCAATTTACTGTGCAGTAGTTTGATTAAAGTAGTAGGAAAAAAAAAAATTGAGCGCAGTAAATATAGTTTTTTTTTTAATGAAATTTGTTGAGGTTAGGAGGACATGGCATTAGTGTTTAGTCATAGTGGTTATTTGTTCTTTGTCTGTTAGTTATTTATTTGTTTTTGTGGTCGTCTCATGATTCTGATTTTTGGCCTGTTGGTGGCAGGCTGATTTTGATTGTTGGCCCCGTGGTTGTGTTCTCATCTGTGAATTAGAGGTCTTAGGAAGTTAGTGATTGTTATTTGTCGCATCGTTGTGTCTGAAAAGTGTCAAATTTTTGTGTTAGGTGTCAGAATGGCTAGCTCTTTGATTCCCGAGTTTCTGCTCAAGGACGAGCTTGTGTTTGAGGTGAAGGCTAGGGGAGCTGAACCTGCGACTGATGTGAGCTCTTTGCGTACACAGTTGCGAGGATTGACAGCGAGCAAGTTTGTCACATCGTGGCCACCCACCTTAGTGGGGGGTCACTGATGAGTTGGAGGCTTGCAGGTCAAAATTTGAGGAGTGGGATGGTCGTGTCGAGGAACTGAAAGATGAGCCCTTGGCCGGTAGAGCGAGATCCCGAGCGATTTCTCGCATTGGACATTTGAGGGGACGCGCTGGCCTGTTGGCTACCGTAGGCTCACTCAAGGGGGACGACCTTGCCTGGCTCAAACAAGTTTCTGGGAGCCTGGATGAGATGTTAGCGGCCCTTGGCCCTAAGACTCAACGCACTTCGGAAGAACCGAACGTGGCGACCGAGGTTACTCCGGTCAGTCGCAATGAGGTTTCGACCGAAGTTGGTCCGGCTCCAGCTTCTTGCTCTCCCATTCCGTGCGCTCCGGCTCAACAAACCGAGCCCACCTCCAAGTGTTCTGGCTCTTTGGCCTCTGCCTCGTACAACAAGTTTCCCAACCCTTTGACGCCTCTTTTGCAGGCTCTGCCTTGTGTTGATGGATTGGAAGTCCACAGATTGTTGAAATTTTTGGCAGATTTGTTTCGAATTAGGGAAATTCCGGGTGTTGATGACTCACTGCTTCTCAGTTTGTTGATCCCATATTGCCGTTCTCCACTTTCTGATTTGTTGAATCTGGTTCTGTCCAAGAAGGGAAATTTTGAGGAATTTCACAGGCAAACGCTTCAAACTTTTGTCCCTGGGAGGATGCGTGAGGACCTCAAAATGCAGATGTTTTATAGGTCGCAAGGGCTTCGTGAAAGCCTCGCTGCCTATTGCACGGAGGTTCGCAGTGCCAGTCGTGTGTTGCGTTTGGACCTCAGTTAGGAGGAGGTGGTTCAGGTCATTCTGGACGGGATAACACCGGAAGAGCGTTCCCGCCTGGTGTTTTGTTCCAAACCTGTCACATTTGCGGAGCTCGACCAGCTGGTTGTCACCGCCACAAATGTGCAGCTCATCGACCAACGTAGGGTGGAAGTAGTATCTTATAGTAAAACCAAAGTATTCTTTTCTGCATTCTCACCCCGTAGCGAAGCACGGGCAGAGCAACTAGTAAAATTTAAAAAAAGAGAAGAGAAGGTGTAGTGACAGCTGACAGCTGGTTAAATAATATTCATTTAATTTGCTAACAACACATGTTATGATTATTGTTTGTTATTTATATTTCAGTTGTTACGCAGTTACTTATAATAATACCCCCGCCACAGCAAACCTGCAGACTAAGTGATTTCCATTTGCCTCATTGGATTTACATCTCCTTAAAAATATCACATTTATTCCCCATTTAAATAGCATTTGTTTAAAAGTACAGGGTGGCGCAGAGAAACGGGAAATTTTGAAGTGGCTGTTGGCACACCTGTAAGTCTCGCAACAATGCAAAACGGAAGTCATGACGAAAGTATAACAATGGACATTTAGTTGAGATGGAGCAGTGGAGTGGTGCGGAGCGTGCAGTCGCCGTGAGAGCGTACTACAAAAATGGTGATAGTGCAACAGCTGTACAACGAGTCTTACGACGCCATTATGATATTCCTCCCCATGATCGGATTCCTTCATCGCATGCAATAACAACATGGGTTCGGAATTTTGAAGATACTGGTTCGGCCTTAAAGAAGAAACCTCCTGGGCGTGTAATGACTGTTCAAACCCCAGAAAACATTGATGCAGTGGGAGTCGCAGTGGAAATGAGTCCACGTCGTTCTGTACAAAAAATTGCCTCGCCATTGCAACTTTAACGTCGGAGCGTGCAAAGAATATTGCACAGCCTGCACTTTCATCCTTACATGCTTCAGATTTTTCAAGCTCTAAATCCAAATGATGGCGAGTTACGCTTAGCCTTTTGTCAACAGCTACTGACTAAAATCAATGATGACGCAAACTTCCTAGAAAATGTTTGGATGTCCGACGAGGCCCACTTTCATTTAAATGGACACGTCAATAAGCAGAATATGCGTTACTAGGCTCAACAAAATCCCGCTGAACTTCATCAACGTCCTTTACACAGTCCCTAAGTTACTGTATGGTGTCAGTGTCTTGTCGGGGTGTGATTGGACCTTACTTTTTGAGGATGAAAATGGTTCAACTGTAACTGTAACATCTCAACGTTATATTCATATGCTGGAGACATTTTTTGCTCCACGGCTTCATGTTTTTCCAAATATTGAAATTCGATATGAGAAGAGAAGGAAACAGGTCTATGACGTAGAAAATGGTGAAGGAAGTAGTAAGGCTTGCAGTGCAGAGTGTGGGCACTGTCTTTGGCAATTACATTAATGTATCTGCAATCCTAAAATGCAATGGGAAGAGAGGGAACCATGTCCACGACGTAGGGGGTGGTGAAGGAAGTAGTAAAGTTGAGCAGTGTTGAGTGTGGGAATGGATTAATGTATTTGCAATGCTAAAATGCTATGGGAAGAGACTGTAGACTGTAGGTTGAAATGATTACGAAGCACGAATCGATACATATATCGATACATGCAATCGTTTACAATAGAAATTTACAACTGAGTTGACAACAGCTGATTTTTACTCCATAGAGGCTAAAAACTATTTTTACTCCCTAAAGAGTAAAAATGCTACTTTTGACCCGCAACGCATGCATTAAAAACGACTGTTTTTACTGCAGTATGACATAAACAATATAATATGAACCCTTGATGACTCTGCTCAATGTTGTGGATGCCTCTGCGAACGCCACCTAGTATTTATAGATAAAATGAATGAATGAATTAAATGAAAACAGTGCTTTATTAAACAAAAAATGATCCTTACAAACCTAGGCTCCTCGCAGGTAGCCACCATGTCTTACACTAAACCATAATGGTTCTATATAGGCTATACAATATACATATATAAAAATTTGAACGAATGGTGTTTTTGGCCTCTGGGGACATTAAAATGAAAAAGTAAATCGGTCCCGGGCCTAGGTCTTACTGTGCCACCTGTAATAGCTACTATCCTATAGGGAAATTCGATAAAAATGTTAAAATAATACACGTATTATCATTACAAACAAAGGAATTTATTATAGTGTATAATAAGAACAAACTAATGTACCTGTACCGTGTCCTTTGTTATGAACAGCATGACTGCTAATACCTTAACTACACCTATTTACTTTAAAAGGTTGTCGTTTTAGTACATAGGAATAATCTTTGGACCTGTGCATGCCTACGTATTGGTAGGATCGGTAGCCTACTGCAGCTTAAATCATGTACAAATTTGCCACCAGTGACCAGTACCAGTGACGTAACTAGTCTGACTGCGCCCCAATGCAAGTATTCCCCGTGCACCCCTATTTGTAGACTCACCCCCTCCCCCCCAATAACCTCCAAGGAAACTAACAATGGCATTTCTCCGTACTTCCACACTTCCTGGATACTATTTCACTACATACGACATTTTACAATTTATTATTTACAGTAATTTTAAAGTAAAAATATTTCAAAAATGATTATTTAAAAAAATAATTGAAAGTAAAATTAAGTTACTAAACATTACCAACCACCAATAACATAACTGAAGTAAGGATCACATTACATACTTACAATTAATTAATGCACTTTAGGACGATAAAATAAAGACTACTTCTTACTTTAATCAACATATATATCATATATATATATATTATTTATATATTTATTCAGAGCCCTATACAGTATAGATGATATCGCAAGCTACAATATAATGTTCATGTTCCATTACTCTTAATTCTTAATTAGATTTGTTTTACTAGGTGATGCATTCTTACAGTCAAACCGCTGCTCTTTTAGAAGTTTAAAACTTTTAAAAGTATTTAACTTACCAGCTGAGTTCCATCTTCATCAACCAGTTTTAATGAGTGAATACTTCGTCTTGATCTAAGGTTTTGATCCATCTGAAAAGTGTCTTGTTTAAATTATGGATACAATTATTTTAATTGTTTCTTAAGGTTTGACCCACCGTTCCAAACGATAGCGGGAAACAGTAGGCCTATTTATGATGAATAAACAACCCAGTTAACTATATCCATTGACTATAACTTAACTAATCCTATAACCTACACTTTAACTTAACTAATCTGACCTGTTTCAAAAGAGTTAATGTAGTAACGAATCCGCATACTGCCCCACCTGCCTTTACCACATGCCTTTTAACTACTGTATTATCAAAACGAATTTGGAATTGTTTCAGCAAGTTTTTGGTTAGCTTGGAACAGTTTCCTTTTATAATCAAACAGCTTCCACCTCATGTGTTTTCTATTATCAAACCGAATGTAGAAATATTACAGCAAGTTTGGTTGATTTTGGTTCGTTTTGAACAGTTTCATTATAATCAATAGGTACATACTATTTCCGCTAGATGTTCAACAGTTCCTAACTGCTACATGGTGAAAACTATAAAGTGTTATGCTTTGCTATTAACAACCAGGGAATTGTGGGATATACAGTAGGATTACATGGTGTTGGAATCAGCAGTTGATTTATTTTGCCTTTTGCCTTTTTACAAACAGCTGATCTTTTTAAATTTGCTATTGTTCTGGACCAGTTGCTTTGTATATAGTGAGAGGAAATGCTACAAGACAGGATGGTGAAGATCACAGAAAAACCAGACAATGTCAACATTGTTGACAGGGATGCCTGGGACAAGAGTGAACCTGAATACAAGAAAAGGGGGATCACTTGGTATACGGATGGCTCGAGAAAGCCAACGGGCACGGGGGCTGCAATATATGCAGTCAGACCCAAGGCGCAGTTCTGCGTAAGCCTGGGGAAAATGGCCACTGTATTCCAGGCAGAAGTTGTTGCCCTGTCCGAGTGTGCAAGAGTGTGTTTGAAGCGTGGTCTTACAGGCCACACTGTATACATGAACTCGGACAGCAAAGCAGCACTAATGGCACTTGACAGTTTTGACTTTACCTCCAAGGCTGTATGGGGCTGTTATCAGGCCATGAAAGCCCTGGGAAAGAACAACAAGATCATCCTTAGTTGGGTTCCAGGGCACAAAGGTATTGATGGCAATGAGGAAGCTGACAAGTGGGCAAACAAAGGAGCTGAAAGCCCGCTCATGGGTCCAGAGCCGATGTGTGGCATTGCTTACAGCACAGCACGGAGAGCTGTTCGCCAGTGGATGGGCATAGAACATCGAAGGAGCTGGGAAAGAACAGAAGGCAATGTACAGTCAAAGAGAATGCTGCAGACACCTACTGGTGCGATAGCGGCAGATGCCCTTGGGCTGAGTAGGAAGACCCTGCGGAAGGTGGTTGTCTTTATTAGCGGCCATTGGGTATTTCGTGGACATCTACACAAGATGGGAATTCAAGTTGAAAGCCTCTTATGTAGGAAATGTGGTGAGGAGGAGGAGACAGCTTTCCACGTGATATTTATGTGCCCCCCTATAAGGTCTGCACATGAGATCCCTTGGCCTATCGACTGGAGATCAAAGGGAAGAATGGGTCACCATAGTCAAAAGGATCTCATGGTTCACAAAGGACCTGGGATTTGACGGAGAATGAGGACCTGTGAATGAGGGTGCACAATAAGCTATTCCAGCTGCGCTGCAATCCCATTGTTACTTGTAAGCCTGGCACTCTATTAAAAAAAATAAAAAAATATACTGGACTATCATGTCTACTGAGGATTTGAAGCAAAGCTGCATCTCACATAGTCTTCTTTAATGAGTCAATTGCATCCTTCAAGCATACACTTCTAGCAAATTACACCATATATCAGTATTAAACGTCAATGTAAGTTATTAATTAGGTATCCTCTTTCAATGTATTATTTAGTTCTCATCGTTCCTAACTTAGCTCTATTATCCATCCATTGCATGTACTGTATTCTTATTGTAAGTTATATTGTCTTGTTACCACGGTATTATATTTATCACTCCAAATATCAATTATTATTTAAGTTTATTGTTATCTTGGGTACAGTTTCTTAACTGGGCTAAGCTAATATTGATTGAAACCATCGATTGATTAGTAAACCTTAATCCGATTTTAGCGAATTTCCCATATAGGGAATAAGCTATTACCGTACTCATGGTAAGACCTGGACCCGGGACCGATTTAATTTTTCGTTTTGAGGTCCCTAGAGGCCACAAACACCATCCATTCATATTTTTATATATATATTTATATATATATTTATATATTTATATATATATATATATATATGTATATATGTGTCCGTTAGCGCGATAACTCAAGCAAAAATGATCCGATTTTGATGAAATTTGGTACAAACGTGTAAACCTACATTTATTCGAACGAGTTCGCAAACCAGCATAATCGGACAACGGGGGTTTATGGGGGGTTTTATTGGGTAAAAATGGGTTTTTTTCCCATTTTTGACCCTAAAAACAAAAAAAATTGCAATTTTTTGATATATCTTAATAATATATAATAATTCGAGGGTAAAGCCTATTTTAGTTATTATACAGCTCAGGGGCTAAAATATGGATTTTAATAAACTACAACAGTTTTCATTTTCTCCATAAGAATTTTAAATTGTTTTTGAATTTACTCCGACATACAAGGGCGCTTAAATATACTAAATTATTTATTTTTTCAAGCTCTACAAAACAGTTTAAAAAGAAATTGCAATTTTTTTTGTTTTTAGGGTCAAAAATGGGAAAACCCCAATTTTACCCCATAAAACCCCCCATAAACTACATAAAATTTACTAACTTTTTTGTTTCTTGCAATTTTTTCGTTAAGTTAACGGTTTTCGTTAAATTTGGCATCAAATATTTTAAATGGCTGCTATTTTGAAACAGTTAATGATTTTTTAGTATAATTTTCAACAAAAATAAGCCTTAATAAGATTAACATTTCTGCAAAATCTCAACGCTGTATCTCAAACCGTTTAGGAGTAATTAATGTTTTTGTAAAAAACACATAAATGCCAACAGTCGGTAAACTAGACACCACAGACCCATGTTCCTATGGTGAAATGTGTTTGTCTTGACCTAAGTAATAACGCTATATACATGTGTCCAGAGAGTTACAGGACACTCTGTATATTTGCCAATGAAAAATGGATACAATCCATCTATAGCCTAATAGATAAAATGATAAACAAGAAATTTAAGAGAAAACTTCAAACTACTTCAGGAACAGAATACAAAATACCCTCGCCGCCAATCCTGCAGACTAAGGGAATTTCAACTCGTCTGATTACATTTTTATTAAAATATTTCCATAAAGACATATTTATTCCCAATTTTAATAACATTAGATTTAACGAGTGCTTAGGTTTGCTGCTACGGTGAAGGTAAAAAGTGTTGACCATACCTCAATAGTATAGGATGAAATAAATTAATTTGCCAAATTTTATCAATGTATATCCATAAACAAGTAAACTACAACAATTTTCATTTTCTCTATAAGAATAACATGTATGTAACTTTTATTATTTTAAGTTAAAATAAATTGTTATTTGTATATTTGAGTTCTACATTAAATTCCAAAAATAATGAGTCCAAACACGACGTGGATACTTAATATCTACGATCTGAAAGTTTTGACAAAGCTGGTGACAATACAGAGTAATTGTAATACTATCAGATCGTAGATATTAAGTATCCACATCGTGTTTGGGCTCATTATTTTTGGAATTTCATGTAGAACTCAAATTTATAAAGCACAATTTATTTTAACTTAAAACAAAAAAGTTACAGATCTGTGGGACTGAGCCAGTGGGTGAGTCATCGTTTGTCTCCGGCCAACCCGACGAGCGGGTCGAGAGGGTGAGTTGAGTTCCGAGAAGGTTCCTAATCCTCTGGGTATCATAGCCAAACGGACGGACTATAGATGAACTTTGGTTTAGTCTCAGTCAAGCCACTGGGGAGGCCACTTTATAGTAGGCCTAAGGGCAAAACGTCTGACAGTGACCTAGCACTGATGACGCGGTTGACGCCTAAAGACATCACCATGGATTCCAACCCACGCTTCAGCTAAACTTTTTTAACATCAAATGAAAGATTTTGATGTTGCTAGAAAAGAATAACAAGTGTGTTTTATTAGTTACACTATTTGTAAAAAGACTGATTTTTCACCTTAATATATTACTTACTAGCTGTAACCCGCGGGCTTTGCCCCGTTTAACTTCTTAATTTTCAAGATTATCTCGTTCGCATGGCTCAATCACGTCCTGGTTGAAGTTTGTTCGCTACGCTCACTCACCTATAGGTTGGAGCTCGTTCGCTACGCTCACTTGCCTTCAGGTTAGCTCGTTCGCTACGCTAACTCGCCTCTAGGTTGAAGTTCGTTCGCTACGCTCACTCACCTTTTGGTTGCAAATTAGCTGTTGTCATAAATGTAAAAGAAATAATAGTGCTGCACCCTGTTGGTAATCCTTGTGACTTTAATGCTATTGAACATCATAGAACAGAACCAACTTGTTTAATTGAAACAGCTGTTAAGATTCAATAATTCCATTTCTCATAAGGTTAACATGGGAAACTCCAGAGCCACTGGGGCGGAGCCCGAAAGGATTTTTGAAATAAGAATATGCCTATATGTTAATCGGGAATGTGAGCTATCATCATGCCAAATTTCAGCCCAATCCGACCAGTATTTTTCGCGTTCACTTGTCACAAACATACATCCAAACATCCATACATCCATCCATACATCCATACATCCAAACTTTCTCATTTATAATATTACTAGCTGTAACCCGCGGGCTTTGCCCCGTTTAACTTCTTAATTTTCAAGATTATCTCGTTCGCATGGCTCAATCACGTCCTGGTTGAAGTTTGTTCGCTACGCTCACTCACCTTTAGGTTGGAACTCGTTCGCTACGCTCACTCACCTTTAGGTTGGAGCTCGTTCGCTGCGCTCACTTGCCTTCAGGTTAGCTCGTTCGCTACGCTAACTTGCCTCCAGGTTGA